TCGATCCCTCTTTGTAAAAAATGTTCAAGCTTGCGAGGCAAATTGCTGGTATTTTACTCAAAGAAGAAATGTTGCGGGCTTAAAGGGATTTAGTGCATATCAAAAAATCTCCGCAGCTATGCGGGTGATTGCATATGGCATTCCGGCTGACTATGCCGATGAGTACCTTCCCATTGGTGAAGATACTACAATTGAGTCAGTACATAGATTTGCAAAAGTGATCATCCGTGTCTTTGGTCCTTAGTATCTTTGGGACCCAACGAGGATGACACAAAGAAATTGGCATCCGAGGATTTATGGATTTGGCATTGCTTCTTTGGTATGCCGGGCACTCTCAATGATATCAATGTGTTGCAATGGTCTCATTTGTTTGCTAGTCTTGCTAGTGGTGATGCTCTTGCTTGCAACTACACTATTAATGGGCATGAATACACAAAAGGGTACTATCTTCCAGATGGTATATACCCTCCTTGGTGCACCTTTGTCAAGAGCATTAAAGATCCCAAAACTAGAAAACATTGTGAATTTGCAAGGGTGCAAGAGGCGGCCCGAAAAGACATTGAAAGAGCATTCGGGGTAATGCAATCTAGGTTTGCCATTGTTCGTGGTCCTGGTCGTTTTTGGGATAAGAGAACCTTGAAAAATATCATGACATGTTGTGTTATCCTTCACAATATGATTCTTGAAGATGAGAGAGGAATGAACTTGGAATTCTTCTATGACAATGTGGGTAGCCGTGTCAAACCAGCTAGAGACCCTAACCGCATTAGACCTTTTCTTCAGACATACAAGGAGATTGAAAATGCAAACACACACTTTCAACTTCAGGAGGATCTCACTGAGCACCATTGGCAAAGGGCTGGACAGTAACTCATTTTTGTATTCATTTGTATTTGTATTCATGACAAGTTTTGTATTACATTGTTTAAGTTTGCTTCGGTGATTTGAATAATTATTTGTAATGTGGATGATTGTTGTATTATGTTGGTATTGAATAATTATTTAGTTTGCTTCCGTTTGTTGTATTATGTTGGATTTGATATTTGCGGGCTGATGGGATGTGGGATGCAGCGGCGCAAGAGCAGACCCCGTAAAGCCGACCCATAAAAAAGCATATTCCGCGAATATACTTTTATATGGGTCCGTTTGGGGGGACTGCATCCGCGGTCGTATGCGCCGGCCTGCAAAGGCCGTTTTTCATGAACTGCAAACGCATTTTGCGAGCCGGCGGGATGCGGGGTCTGCTAGAGATGCTCTAACTCTTGGGATAAAAACTTGGTGAAACAAACACTATGGCCAAATGACACTCAACGAGTCCTCACGATTCCCCTTCCTATGCATAACATGTTGGATTTCATCGCTTGAAGTTACACAAAAAATGGGTTGTTCAGTGTTCGCTCAGCTTATTTGGCAGAATGAAACAAACAACATGGGAGGAAATTGCAATATAGTAATGGTATGGGGCGAATCATATCTTGTCCGGCGAAGGTAAAAAATTATTTGGCGTACGCTACATTAAACAGCCCCGTGTCGTGTTACGCTTGCTAATAGGCACATGAAAGTTTTGCCCACATGTCCATCCTGTTCAAATGAGTCGGAAGATACAAATCACGTGTTGTTTCCTAGTCAAAAAGCATAGGACGTTTGGAATAAATTGGGTTTGCACGAGGTGATTAACAGAGCTTGTGTCATATTGATCGTGCGAGGTAGTCCTTGAATTCTTACTCGTTATGCCATATCCGGATTTACCTAATCTGGGTATCAGAATGTTCATCAATTGATTGCCATAATCACTTGGTACTTATGATGGGATAGACATAAGCTGATTCATGATGAAAACCCTCAAAATGCAATCTAAACGCCTATGGAGGTTCGTGCTATAACGACAAATTTTGTCAATGCTCAGTCCCCTAGTGCTACGAGTAAAGAAGGGGGTGGAGCAGACCTCCTACGGGTTTTGTCAAGTTAAATGTGGACGTCTCTTTTGATCATGATCTGCTTAGGGGAACAGCCGGCGCCGTACTCAGAGATGACAAAGAAAAAATCGTTGTTGGTGGAAATTGGAAAATCGATTGGTGTGTTGACGTTCTGATAGCTAAAGTGTTGGTTCTAAGATTTGGCCTATCTCTTGCACAAAAAGTGGGATGCAATCGTTTTGTTATAAATTCGGATAAAAGTCATTGTTACAATGAAGAATGAAGGACGGTGTGCAGGAGCAGCAGCCGGCGGTGGGAGATTTTGATGACTGCTATTTTTTGGCTTGTGATTTTTTCCTTACTAGTTTTTAACATTGTAACAGGGAAACCAATAAGATTGCCCATAAACTTGCTAGGTTAGGAAATTTTCAGTGACAAAAGATTGGTTTGAGGAGCCCTTGGATGAGATTGCATCTCTCCTTGTAGACGATGTAACCTTTATTTGCAATTAATAAAAATTTGTTATTGTTCAAAAAGAAAATTGGGTCGGCCCTCTCATGAGCCGCTTCATGCGGAAGGTTGGCACCTTGTCGCATACTGTCAAATAGGAATTGCCCGCTCGGCCGTCACTACCAGTTCAGAACAGGACTAGAGGAGTGGAATGGGCCCGAGTGATAATACACTTGCTGCTCGCACCTAAAGTTCTCGGTTCACAATGAGAGAATACATTGCACTAGGTCAAAGGATTAGATTATTATCTGATACGTATGTTTGGTTCAACCAAAGGGAAGATGACAGGTAGCTTGCGGCCTTGTTGAAGATATTGAAGGAGGGACGGCTTGCAGCGGAGAAAAGGGAGCACCAATTAAACAAAGAAGGGAGATTGCCGACGCTCCTGTTCACGACGATCAAAGATAGACTAGTCCTCAGCTGAGTAAAGGAAGTGGGTCAAGCCTAGCGTTGTTATTCAATACCTATCGACACATACCATTTTGGATTTTGAGAAGCACCGTTTACTATAGATTGGAACTGAAACCGGCCCAACCCAAACAAAACAAGGTAACTTACTCATGAGCCGGTGTAATCGGAAGGCAGCGAAAAACCGCGGAACCAAACACATCGTCATATTATTCCTGAAATGTATTCAGATACTACAAACTGAACAGTGAAGCAAATGGGCAATGATACTATCTTAAACCCATTCTCATGTTGACATTACAAATCAGTAGAGCAAAAACAAATGTGACCAAAATAATGATGAAAGTAGCCTTAAATGTCAGCCAAACGCAAAGAGATACGCTAAAATCTGATATAAAAGCAACAGTGTGGCAGAACATTGTCATTGGTGTGAAGAAGCAATAAAATGACAGCATAGAAGCATGGAGAAGTATACAGAAAGCAGAAATTACCATTAACACAAAAATGAGGTCGACAACATCTGTATAGGTGATAACAGTTTCTCTGATATAGTCAGCCTACCTCTTATTTTGAACAGACAAAAAGCTCAAACCCAATATATTAGTTAGATACGGCACAAACACCAATTTCTAGCCACAAGGTATCGTAGCACTCATAAATGATTGCATAACTAGAGTCGGGAGTTAAACTCTACGCTGTGTTCACTTATTTGCATCACTGATTCAGGTGCCAAACTAAGGTGACTAACATGTTTGTGGGATGGTGGCACACTACTGTCATCTGCTCCCTCCGTCCCAAACTGTAAGATCATCTTTGACAATATCGTAGTATCAAAAATGATCTTACAGTTTGGGACGGAGGGAGTAGATGACAAGTTTATGGTTTATCATTAATGTCACACAACTGACTACAAAAACATCAATACTGTATGGTTTCATGCCCTTGCAGGCTTGCACAACTGCCTTTTGCAAGAACATACCTCGCAATGTCCTTGCCCATGCATGTTCTACCTTTCTAAATTAGCAAAATGACCACTTTTTTTATACACGACTAAAAACGCAAGTTCTATGAGATAAATCCCCTAGGGATCTAAAATAACTGAAACTAAGGGAAATACTTGGTATGTGTAAAAGGCGATGCCCAGTATGGAGCATCAAACAGATCTGCTTTTCTTTTATCCAATCATGAACCATTCTAACTTTCTAACCAAGTTAGCAATACAATGATAGCTATCATCGCTAGGAATTGTAGTACTCAAGATGAGTTACAGAGCACTCAGGGTAACAGGAGAACAGATACTTCAACCATGCTTAAAAGGGCACAACTAGCTGAACAGTATTAAGGTTGAATAGACAGTAAGAGAAAAAAAACTTAGCCTTGCATGATCTAAAGGGTGCAACTAGCTGAACAATCTAGGTTGAATCAACATTAAAAGAAAAGGCAAAGGACAATCTGCAACACATCAAACAAATAAGAAAGCATGACATTAAAAATGCACTGTTAGGATAACCACAGCACACTGCATACCCTGGCTTGGTCCTATACGTACACGCCAGAAGATGCAACATTGTTCCCTGGCCAATTAAAGGCTCACCCCAACAAAACAATATATATGCTTGAACCTTTTCAGAAATGCTCAGATATGACCTCAAGAATGTAACAGGGTGAATATAAATGATATGTATACCTAACTGGACAAGGTTAAGTCCAACGGTTCCAGAAGAAAAATGGTATGCATCAAACAAGGACAGCATAAGGCCCTCCAAGCTGTGAATGTGCGAAATCAGGACAACGTTATCCAATTGCAATTGCAAGCGAGGCTACAGCTATGTCTACCTGATACAAAAAATTCCAACATAAAAGGCACAATCCACATGCACATCCAAGTCCAAGTACACAGCATGAATAGATCTAGTTATCTCAGTAAGCAAGACCAAGGTTGCGGAAACATAATCCAGAAGCACCAGCAGTGATACTTGTTTACTCGATAAAAACACTTAAATTAGGTCATACCTCGAAATTAAACGCTCATGATGCATAAATAAGGTACCTAAAGGCCTAAACTGGATGCAATCGCAGAAATGTACTTCCACAAGGGAACAGTTCATAGAAACATTTCTGTGCATCACAAGCGCGAGACGAAGGCGAGTTAGTCCAGCTGCGACCCTAATCGCTCTCCTCCCCGTCGCCGCTCTCCTCCCCGGGAGCCATGTCGACGTCTGCGTCCTCATCGTCCTCGTCATCCTCCCCTGCCTCCTCTGGTGGCACCAGGTACGCCCCAGGCTGTGCTGGGGCGCAGCGGCGGGTCCGAGAGGGCAGGATGTTGTTGAGGTCGACCTCGGAGAGGGGATCCTCGCATAAGCCGTCGCTCTCGTCGCCATCTCCCTCGACCTCCTCGTCATCCTCCTCATCGTCGCTTTCCTCGTCGCCTTCTTCCTCCTCATCGACCACCATCTTGCCCTTCCCCTTGTCCGCGACCCGGGCCTTGGCCTCGGCGGCCGCCTCCTCGTCGGCGCCGGGGCGGGCGGCCTTGGCGGGTGGGTCGAGGGGAGAGATCTCGGAGCCGGTGTCCGTCTTACGCTTGGCCGGGGATGGGGAGGGTTCGGTGGCCGCAGGCTGGGACTGGCCGTCGGCGGTCGCCATCGTGGAGGCGGGACGGGAGAGGGAGAGGGAGAGCTAGGGTTTAAGGATGGGGGAAGGGTGCGAGAGAAATGGAGAGGAGAGAGCGTGGCGTAAAACCGTGGCCCGGGTGCCGCCGTGTCGGAAAGGGGCGACGCCAGAGAGAGATGGGCCTGTCATGGGTGGTTATTGCTTCTGAGCCGGTAACATATTGTGGGCTTACAACGTATTGTTGGGCCTAGACAAGGTTTTTATTTCTCCGGTACAACTTTCTTTTCGAGCTCCGAGTATTTTCTTTTTTTTTAGAGATCAATTGTGTACCGTATTTTTATAGAAAGGGAGAAATAGTTTTTTTTTGCGATGGACATAGGGTGTTTTATTCCAAACTCACAGAATTACAATCCTTAGCAACAAGTTCAGAAATAAAAGGAGGGGATTGGTTAAGCCAGCACACAGTGCTATCCCCATATCTACCATAATTTGCTAAGCATTGTGCAACTTTGTTTTGATCACGAGAAACTTTAATACGAACAAACACCCTATTCTTCAGTAAACCTTTGATTTCTGCCAAGAGATGACCATATGCTGATCTGTCCAGTGAATCATTAGATAGTGCTGACAAAGCTGCCAAACAATCAGATTGTAGCTGAACTGGTCGATTCGACCGTTGAATTGCGAGACTTACTCCTTCCATAATCGCATGTAACTCCGCTTCCAGCGCCTCATTACAGTGATAAATGCGTTGGTAAGCTGCAAAAATAACACCACCCTTGTCATCACGTAAAACCATATCTGATCCTGCAGCTTCGTCTTCCACACAATAAGAACCATCAACAGAGAGAGCTACCCAGCCCGGCGGAGGAGCCGGCCAAGCAAGGCATGGCGATGATGAACGAGTTTTTTCAATCACTGGTTCCATCAAGATTGGAGCTTTACCTTTGATCACCTCTTCCATACCCATACAGCCTAATTGTAGCAAAGAGTTAAGATAGGTGCATAGATAATCACAAAGACACCTCCGTCGGTGGAATAGATTTGGCATGCATGACTTCATTACGTAAATGACAAACCCTCCAGAGCACCATAATGATCATGTCCCGGACATTGTTCTGCTGACCAGCAAGCAAGTGAAGAAACCATTCATCACCCGTACATGCAATATCATACCTGTTTGGCAATGGCCAACGGTCCTTCATTGTGTCCCATAAGCTTGCCGCGTTGGGACAGACTAGTAAAGCATGAAATAACGATTCATCTTCTCGCCCACACATTTCGCATGTTGCCCTTGTACCAATATGACGTCGATTCCTCTCTAAGTTAGTTGCTAGTATACCGGTAATTACCTTCCATGCAAAAACTTTCATCTTAGGAGAAACCAAGGCACGCCATACAATATTCCACATACCACGTTCACCACCAGGACATGTGTTGCTTGCTCCTTGCGAGAAACGGTCCATGTGCTCACCCATAGCTAAATGATAGGCGCTCCTAACTGTGAAAGATCCCGACTTCTCAAAAGGCCAAGCAATAAAATCTTCCCGCTGTCTTGGAAACGTATGAATTTTCAAAATAGCTTCAATATCAACATGACAGAAAAATTGTTCCAATAAATTTACCTTCCATGCACCATTAGCATCCAGAAAATCAACAACTTTATTTAGACGACAATTTCTTTTAGGGGAAATAGGCGTAAAAGGCATGCCCCTAGGAATCCATGGATCTCGCCAACTTCGAATAAGATTACCATTGCCGACTCGCCAGATCATACCTTTTTTCACCAAGTTCAATCCATGTTCGATACCCTTCCAAACTGCTCACGAGTTACTCGGAAAAATTGTATCTAGTAGATTCCCATTTGGATAATATTTAGCCCGTAGTAGTCTTGCACAAAGCGATTCAGGTGCAACAAGGAGTCGCCAGGCTTGTTTAGCAAGCAAAGCTTGATTAAACGCCTTCATATCCCTGAACCCCATCCCTCCTTTGGATTTAGGTAGAACCAATTTATCCCATGCCATCCAAGCCATCTTTTTCTTACCATTTTGCACGCCCCACCAGTAATTTCTCATCAACTTGGACAAATCATCACATACTGAGAAAGGAAGTTTGAAAACACTCATTATATAGGTGGGGATAGCCTGGGCTACAGATTTGATCAAAACTTCTTTACTCGCCGAAGACGAGTATCTTTCACTCCAATCCACAAGTCTCTTGCTCATACGTGACTGTAAGAATTCGAACCTCCCTTTATGCATTCGCCCGTCTAACATAGGGAGACCCAAATATTTTGCATCAAAAGCTTCCTGAGTCACACCAAGAAACCTTTTGATCTCCATAGAAACCGTATCGGGGCATGAAGATGCGAACATCATCATCGGTACACCCACACCCACACTATAATAGGCTACTCTCTCACAAAACGATGTAAACATCCCACTTCGTTAAGGGCAAACCTCCAATCTCTAAGACCATCCATAATCTGGATAGTGAGTTTCAAAGTGCATGTAGAGCATTTGGTAGCAAATAGTAATATGTAATGATGAGTTCCCCTTTCCCTAGAGCAGAGCTAGCATTGGTTAAAACCTAGACTTACTATTGAGTATTATGATTATTAGGAAAGATAGGATAGCATATGTATCGATATACACACATAAGGCTCAAGCAATAAACATTGATTCCACCAATCCAACGCGATTGTCACGTGACCGACCTGATATTCGTTTGTGCATGCCTCTGCGGCTTCCGTGAAGATCATCATCGAGTATGAGCGCCCCTCCACCGATCAAGCAACGGGTTGCCGTTGTGTCGCCTCATTGGGCCGTAGCGTCGCCGCCCCATGTTTCTCCCTGCCGACAACACCGACGCGTGCCTTCGTCCATGATGTGTCCCCGGACCTAGCAAGCCTGGTGTGACACATCGTTAACATCGACTTCGTCCGTCTACGCATGTCTAGTTCTGACAACACCTACGCATGCCCTCGTACATGACGTGTCCCTCGTCTTGGCAAACCTGGTGTGACGCCTCGTCAACATTGTCTACTTCCGGGTGCACCACTACCTCGACATCACTGCGCCCATGACTAACACGACGCCTCCTTGCGCCCGCGGCTCCACGAAGACTACCTCGACACCGCCCACCCCGACTCGACATAGACCATGGCATCCCTCGCACAGGTACCTCGACAACGGCTAGACCATCCTATGCTCTCGGCTACATCGACATCGGCACAAAGGGCTACCTCCTTGCTTGAGCAACCTCGTCGATTTTCACTCAAACCATAACTTCCGTGATGCATCGACCATTACAACTGTGGGGCGATGTCCGTCGACTTACGTTTGGATTCTTTTCCAGTCTCACTGTCTTCGTTGCTAACGATCTGACTGCGGGGGATGTTTATTATTATGATTATTAGGGAAGATAGGATAGCGTAGGATCTTATCCTATCTTTGTCTTGTACTCCAAATTGGTCAATATACTCTTATATGCCCACGAGGCTCAAGCAATAAACATAAACATTGATTTCACCAATCCCTCACTATCCCTTCTAACATCTACCTTTTGTTTTTATTTTTCTTCTTTTACTTCTCTGCTTTGTACATACTATTGACATCTGAAAATTTACCATGAACAATTGCTCTACGTCGGTTTTGTGAACGTTAAGGTTTGGGAAACTGCTTGACATCCAATACGGGTGTGGCTATCTCATATATATAAGGGTACACGAAGTGTACAAATACAATATACAAGGTATACACAGAAGCTACGTATAAAACATTATCTAACACCCTCCCTCAATCTTAACTGTGGCCTGAAGTACAAAGCAAGTTAAGATTGCGCCTACAACCTTCAAACTGAGGTTGTGGAAGTGGCTTCGTGAAGATGTCAGCAAGTTGATTTTTGGAGGAGATGAATTTGATATGAAGAAGCTTCTGTGCAACGCGTTCCCTCACAAAGTGATAGTCAACTTCGATGTGCTTAGTACGAGCATAAAAACTGGATTAGATGAAACATACACCGCACCAATATTATCACACCAAAGAACCGGTGGCTGCTCTTGAGAGACTCCCAACTCTCTCAATAGACACTGTACCCAAATGAGCTCAGCCATGGCATTGGCAACCGCCTTGTACACTGCTTCAGTGCTACTTCGAGATACTGTGGCCTGCTTGCGCGCTCTCCAAGCGATCAAGTTGCGACCAAAGAAGACAGCTTAGCCCCCAGTTGATCGCCGGTCATCCAGGCTCCCAGCCCAATCTGCATCAGAAAATGCCGAGAGAGCACTCGAGGAGGTAGACCGAAGATGCAAGCCATAGGAGACAGTATGAGAGAGATAACGCAGTATACGCTTCACAACTGACCAGTGTGAAGTCTCGGGAGCATGAAGATGCTGGCACACACGATTTACCGCATAGGAGATGTCCGGTCATGTGATAGTCAAGTACTGCAAGCCACCAACAATACTGCGATACTCCGTAGCATCATCTAAAGGAAGCAAGGCACCATCTAAGGCTGATAACCGATCAGTCGCAGACATAGGGGTGGTAGCATGCTTGCATTGCAACATACCAGCACATCGCAGCAAGTCCAAGGAATACTTATGCTGAGTGAGAGTCAGGCTAGCAAGGGACCGTGAAACCTCCAGACCAAGGAAGTAATGGAGAGCACCCAGATCCTTGACAGGAAAATGACCACTCAGAGCAGACAGTAGATGATCAGCGGCAGTCACTGAGCAACTGATAAGAATAATGTCATCAACATAAACCAGCAGGTACATAGTAACCTTAGGACGATGAAACATGAACAAAGACGTGTCAGCAGTGGATGAAGCAAATCCAAGACGTCAAAGAACCGAACCAAGTCGAGCATGCCATGCACGAGGAGCCTGCTTAAATCCATAAAGCGCCTTAACAAGACGACACAAATGATGTTGACGAGCAGGATCAACAAAACCTGAAGGTTGCCGCATGTAGACCTCTTCCTCCAAGATCCCATGGAGAAAAGCATTCTAAACATCAAGCTGACGCAGA